CCCCCGCTGCAGGTGATCTCCATTTTCACGCTGGTGGAGGTCGTGCTGACGTCGGACGCCGTCCCGCTCAAGTACAGCGCCCTGCTCAAGAGACCGAACTCGGAGAAGTGAGCGCCCCGGGGGCTGCACAATGCTCGCTCGCCCCCCAGGCCCCACACCAGCACCCACTGGGGACAGAAGAGACCCACGACGGGTTTGGGGTTTTGAGTTTTAAGACGGATGCCATTTTATTTTTTGGTTTGGATTTTAACTGCGGCTGGGAGCGGGGCTTGGCTTGAGCCTGCCCCAGGCAGAGCGTTTCTACTTTCTGATATTTTTAGCTTGATGCTTTCATTTTTATTTTTAAGGCAGTGGGGTCCGTCCCCGGCCACCTCAGGTGCCCGTGGTGAGGGCCAAGGGGGGATGTGTCCCTGGGAGCAGAGAGGGGCTGGCGCCAGTGTCCCAGGTGGGATGTGATGGGATGCGGCCGTGGGGCCGTGCAGGAGGATTTCTTGCAGGGTTGTGTGTCACGTAATAAAAGCTGGGTCAGCAGCCGCTTTGGGAGCTCACACAGGCTTTGTTTTGTCTCCTCTGCATTCCCCTGGCTGGAAAATGCAGCAGTAACTCATCTCCCGGGCAGCCCCATGCCTTCCCCTGCCTGACGCTTCCTGGATTGTGAAATCCCAGCGGCCTCGGTGCCCCCCCAGCCCCAGTGTGTGCTGGACCGGAGGGTGTGGGGGATCGAGTGGACGTGTGCTCCCGGATCCCATTCCAGGGCTGATCCCGCAGGCTCAGCCTTCACTGGGAGTCGCCGGGCGTCTGCTCCAGCCCCTCACACCCCGGCCTCCAGCCCAGCCCTGCTTTGGCACCCTGCAGCACCATGTCCTTGCATCTCAGAGAGCTGCAGACCCCCTGGCCCCTCTGCCGTCTCCAAGCTCCTCAGCCTGCTCCCTGTCCCCATGTCCCCCACCAACGCTGTGCAGGATGTCTCCGAGGGCATGAGCTGCTCCGGTGGCCTCGGGAGGCGGGCAGCCAGGACCGGGGGCTGGTGGAGGGGTTGGTGTCTGGTGAGAAGGAGTGGATCCGTTGTGCCAGGGAGGGAGGAGGCCCTGCTTCACTCTGCCTTATCAGCGGTGACAGATGTGGTGCTGGCACGGACACATCCACACTTCGCAGAAGCCAGAAGCTGGCCAAAACGCAGGCTGTCTTGCTCGGGATGCGTCAGGGCTGGGTACAATGTGCTCCCTGGGAGCTGGTGAGCAGTGAAAGCCACCAGGGTCACCTGCAGTCCCCAGGGGTGGTCCTTCCAGGTGGCCTGGCACAACCGCACATGGACATCACCTTCAGATTTTGGAGCAGATGGGAGCAGTCTGTTCCACCATGAGTCTCCTGCTCCTTCGCTGGCTGCTGGTGACACAGGTCCATTCCCTGCCTGCTGTAAATCAGCACCGGCTGTACCAGGGCCCAACAGGCCACGTGTGACCGTGTCCCCTGGAGAGGGAACCCGAGGACACTGACACCAAAGGCAAGCCATTTTCCCACAACCCCTCAGGCCTATGTCCCCCTCCTCAGCTTTGTCTCAGGAGAAACAAGGCCAATCCAGCCCAGCCCAGCTCAGCCTGTCTTGCAAAAACAGCACTTTGCCCTCCCTGCTGCTCCCCGGGGTCCCACAAGCAGCCACCCCCATGGGAGCTGGGGGCCATGAGGTGCCCTGGTCCCCAGGGCGACCCGGAGGTCGTCCCTTGCTGGTGGGGGGCAGGGATGGCCCCAGGGCAGGGCTGGAGGCACTGGGAGGACCCTGGGCAGGGCTGAGAGATAGGTCCTGAATGTTATCAGCCCATCGTCTCACCTTTGGCAGGGCTCAGCCCTCGGCGGGACAGGGAAGGGCCATAAAGGGCTGTCCCCACCGCCCTGGACACAGGCGACATTCAGGGAGGGAGTCGGGGTGGGCAGCATGGGGTGGCCGCTGTCCCCTGGACTCTGCCTGCTCGTCTGCCTCCTGACCCGGCTCGCCGCTGCAGCCTCAGGTGACAGGGCATGCGTGGGACGGGGTGGGTGGGAGTCCTTGGGGGTGGGCGCCGGGGCCGGTGCCACTTCGCTGGGTGTCTCCCAGAACCCTGTCACCTCCCCATGGGGCACCAGCAAAGCCAAACCCTCCTGGGTACCTCAGGGTGCTTTGAGACCCCAACCCTTGAATGTGTTTTTTTCGGCCTCCACCAAAGCAGGCCATGTACCTGCCCCCTGTCCTTGTCCCCTGGCAGTGGCTTTGGATTGAGCAGCTCCATAGCCAGTGGCCGCAGTTACCAGGACATGGCACACTTGCTGCAGAGGGGCTGATGCTCGGGTACCTCTGCTGAGAGGCACAAGGAACTTCCCTGCCAAACTGTGCCTCGGTTTCCCCCTCTGCAGATGAGCTCTGGGGTTGCTAAAGACTGGGCTGATCCCCAGAGAGCTCCTGGCCCCTCTGAAGCCCCCAGAGCAGCTGAATTCGCCTTGCGTGGAGATGCCCACCCTGGTCCCCATGGGGGTTGCCCCTGGGGACCCTCAGGGTGCCCAATGTCCCTGCATTCCCCCAGCTCTGCTCTCGCCTTCAGATGCTGAGAAGACCCCGGGTTACTGGAACGAAGGGGCCAGGAGGAGGCTGGAGTCGGCCCTGGCTCTGCAGCCAGCGGCACGGCGGGCCAAAAACATCATCCTCTTCATGGGTGATGGTGAGTGCCCTGCATCCCCACCAGGCCCCACGGCAGCCAGGGGACATGGCTGGTGAGAAGATGGGGCTGGTGCAGGTCCCCTCCTCCCCACTGCCTCCCAGTGTCTGGGGAGGGCAGGACTGTCCCTTGTCCCCATCCCTCGCCATCCCGCGGCTCTGCTGTGCCCACAGGCATGGGGCTGCCCACCATGTCAGCGGCTCGGATCTACAAGGGGCAGCTGGCTGGCGACTCGGGTGAGGAGAGCGTCTTGGCCATGGAGACCTTTCCCCACATGGCCCTGGCCAAGGTGAGTGGGGCAGCGCTGGAGGCAGGGGGGTGTGCAGCCCTGGTGCCCCTGCCCAAATCCCCACTGGCCCCGCGCTTGCTTCCAGACCTACACCGTCGACCGGCAGGCTCCCGTCCCCGCACCACACGTACCTCTGCGGGGTGAAGGCAAACGCCAAGACGCTGGGGCTGAGCGGGGCAGCCGTCTATGGCAAATGCCGCACCACCTTCGGCAATGAGGTGGACTCCATCCTGCACCGGGCCAGGCTGGCGGGTATGAGGCAACCCTGTCTGAGGGCCTGGCGTAGCACGGCCACCCCGTGACATGGAGGGCTGGATGGGCTCCTGGTAACCCTCGTCCACACTGCAGGCAAGTCCGTGGGTATCGTGACCACCACACGGGTGCAGCACGCGTCCCCCGGGGCGGCCTACGCGCACTCGGCCAGCCGGAGCTGGTACGCCGATGCCAACATGCCCAAGGAGGCCTTGCGGGATGGCTGCAAGGACATTGCCTACCAGCTGGTGCACAACACGGACATCAACGTGAGCTGGGGAGCAGGTGTGGGAGGGAGGGGGCACCGGGAGCATTGAGAGGGTCCCCTCAGCTCCCTGGCAGGTGATCCTGGGTGGCGGGCGGAAGTACAGGAACGCCAAGCGGACCCCCGACCCCCGGTGCCCGAGGGACCCGGCTCAGAACGGCACCAGGAAGGACGGCCTTGACTTGATTGCCGAATGGCTGAGGGACAAGCAGGTACTGTGCCAGGGCAGAGGGGACATCGTGCTGGGGCAGAGGCCACCACCACTGAATCTGTTCTCGCTGGCAGG